TCAGTAGGGTGTTGGTAGGTTGTCAGTAGGGTGTAAGTAGGAGATTAGTAGGGGTCTACCAGGATGGTGGTAGTTAATCATAAGGGTGCTGGTAGTTGGTCAGTAGGTTGGTAGGTGGTCAGTAGGGGTGAGAAGTGTTGGGTGTTCAGTATAGGGTTGGAATTTACACCTGCTGTAAGTCCCTTAACAAGTAGTCTCTACAGTTGCTATAATATAGATAAATGTCTGCCTGATAAATAGTTTGATTGGATCAACAGGAAGTGGCTGCCAGAGATATCAATTCTGTACGTGAATACATGTTGGAATATCTTTCTGACAACAGTAGGAACTACACTGACCCTTATTTTACTGTGTCAGAGGTAAGCCTAGTATTTACTGAGAGCATCAAATCAATATCATTTTACAAGGAAAAAGGGAATAATCTTTCTATGGAAACACTTACTACACTTTCTTTGATCCATAGAAATTCCTCCAAAGCTTAAGTTTTCTGTCAGGGCTTCAAAATAACAGCCAATCATGATCAAATTAGTTTTAGATTAATCATACCTTATTTCTGGCTAATTGTTACTGGTCAAAATCAACGGCAAGGCAAAGATTTGACCTGAAAAGTCCCACTTCTGGCCAAACATAATCAGTTGTATGGCCATTATTTTAAGCCCTGCACCCCCTGTGTGTGTCTTTCACAACAGATTCTCAAGCAACATTTTTCCCCTTCAGTTCCTTGATTTCCTGTTTTCGAGAGGTAACAGTGCATTCAATTCAGCTCACTGTTCTGTGTACCAAGACATGAACAAACCAATCAACTGTTATTGGATTGCATCTTCACATAATACGTAAGTTCCTGGATTAGGCCAAACAAAAAAATAAGTGTGTTTCCTGTTTCATAAGAAGAATAATTGGGGTCAGAAGGTCAGATTTTTTTTACTGAAACAACAGTGGAAATGAGCTTACTGGGAACCCTGTGGTGCATTTGGGAATGAAAAAAATATCAGGGTCGTCAAAAATCGGCAAGAAAATTAGGGTCGGTCGCACAACAGGAAACGCACTTATTTTTTTGTTTGGCCTTAGCTCTAAGAATCTTGGATTGCATGACTTTTGGTTTCAGGTATTTCCATCTTAAAGAATTACAGATAGAAGCCTGGTCATAAGCCCTAGGGTTATACAAATTTATGAGGATTTTTGGATAGCCTTAGAATCGCAGTTAATATAGTGTCATTTATTTCCACAGATACTTGACGGGTGACCAGTTCCAGGGTGAATCATCTGTAGAAGCATATGTAAGATGTCTTAGGATGGGATGCAGATGTCTAGAATGTAAGTTTTTCGTAGCCTGTACAAAGGACAAGGCTTTCAGAATACGTCTGTGTCCATCTACAAATTGTAATTTTTTGAGTTAGAATAAAATTCAAAAAAAAAGTCTGCACCCACCAGAGCTCTGGTGATTGCTAAAAGAAGCTAACGGCTGGCTACTTTTTTATTTCTATAGAATATACTTTCTGTTCTGTGTATACCTTGTACTCCTTGACCACCTACTCCAAAACATTCTGAAACATTCATGATTTTTTGTTTTTGTTGCTTCAGTGGATTGTTGGGATGGCCCAGATGGGCAGCCAATCATTACGCATGGACACACACTTGTCTCCAAGATCAAGTTTCTTGATGTTGTTCGGCAGATAAAAGAAAATGCTTTTGTTGCGTCAGAGTAAGTTGATATCTTAAGGATTGTCATCATTCATCTGTCTATCGGCATCCGTCCGTCTGTTTTTTCATCCATTAATTTTGATTTATTTGAATTTTTGTATCTAACAGGCTTTCTGTGGAAGTCATAGTCTTGAGTCTATAACACTCTGATGTAAAGTGTACTATAAGTAGTACAAATATTCAGAGAACATTTGTAACCAATACRAGACTACCCAAGACTACTTCGATACTCTTCAATTTGTCTCTGATGTTGCAATGTGTGACTGTCATAAAATTTTCCACCAAGAAACAAATCTGACAATTATTTAAGTCAATTTAGTTTTGTATTTGGTGTAATGATTTTAATGCAAACTCACTTCTTGTGTTTCAGTTTCCCCTTGATTTTGTCACTAGAAAATCACTGTAGTCTCAGCCAACAGAGATTCATGGCACAAGCCTTTAAAGACATCTTTGGAGGTGAGGATAACAATAATAATAATAATTATTATTATTATTATATTATTATTATTATTATATATATATATATTTTTAAATATTATTATTATATTATTATTATTATTAATTATTGTAAAAACAGGGCATTATATTCTGGCTTCAGAACACTGATTGATCAACCATGGATAATCCTGAAAAGTTAAAATTGAATTTCAGTTTCTCCAATTATAGAGTTTTTAAAACAGTTGAGACAGCAAAAACACTGGCCATTCATTCCCTAAGATAAAACCTTTGTTGTCTTTTTTTCCCCAACAGAATATCTGCTTTCACAACCGATTGATAATGGCAAAGAACTGCCTTCTCCTGATGCACTCAAAAATAAAATTATTCTTAAGGTAACTTGAACTTTGCATTAAGCTGCCGATACACGCTGCATTTTTTTTAGCAAACTACCTATATTCATATGATTTTTGATTGACTGATTGACTGCTAAAGACTAACATGGTGGCTATGATTTAATGTACAACCCAAGACTACTACAGAAACTAAAACTACTTCTTCATCTGCAACAACAATTATAGTTCATGAAAAATGTCTATTTATTTTAGGTAGATTTGCAGAGAGTAATTGCTACAGAGTCTCCTGAGGCGCATGCCAGGGTCTAATGTTTATGGGAATTTAGTATTTGGTTCTTACAGAGCGAGGATAACTGGAGAACTTTGAGAAAAACCCTTGAAGCAACAAGCAAATGGGAATCAAACCCAAGTCCAATTCCATTGGTGATAATCTGTCGCATTAGCCATGTACACCACCTTTCCATGATGAAGAAGGAATTCAGGTCATCTCAAAAATCATGTCATGTATGTACCTCTCATTAACCATTTCTTGCTCACCTTTTCCACAGCATAAAAAACTTCCAAAAGATCCAAATCAGGTGACCAACACAGACCAGACGTTTGATGCTTGTAAGTAGTTTTGACTCTCTTACCTGTAATTAACTAATCTGAGTGCTTGTATTCTGCATTTTAATATCACTTTTCATGGGCACATACAAAAAGACTACTTTATGGACAGGTCCCGCAATAGAAGCTGATTGCCACTGTTTTAAAAAGAAAGACACTTTGAACAGTCAATTTCACCTTTTTTGTGCTAGTCATCATGTGGTATAAATTGTATTGGATTGTGAACATTACATTACAAAAGTTCAGACATGTCCTTGGATTCCGGTACAAATGTATTGGCTTTTGAACAAACTATTTCTTTGGTTTGTTCATCTGTTTAAATGATATTTTGCTTGTATTTAGGGTCAGCTAACTAAACAAATCAAGTAAATAATTTGTTTTAAAATTAGTACATTTGTACTGAAATGTCCCATCTTTTTGGTGATCGCAACATAATCCAACAAAATTTATACCATGTTATGGCTAGTGCAAAAAGGTGAATTTCACCTCTGTTATGACTAACTTGTTTATTTGTGCTTGCAGTATCGGAAGATGATCTGAGTCATTCGTTTAATGGTTACCTCCTCCTAGAGGATGAAATTGACCATGTAAGCTCAACAATCTTGTTATCATAAATTTCTCTTCAGTTGTTAGCATTTTGGGGGTGGTAAAATGTTCATATCCTTCTGCTGTGGTCTTTAATGAGGAATATGTTCCCAATGGAAAAATATCTCTGTTTTTAAATCCAAATATCTTTTTTTACCCTACAGTCATCAGTCCATCCAATTTACCAGCCATCCTTTCCCCTTTCATCCCTCCATCTATCTGCTCATCTATCCCACCAATCAATCCATCCTATTCATTCCATTCCACCGGACCACCCAAATGCCCATCTGTACATTAATCCTTCCATCCATTGTCAATTCCACCATCCATTCAGTCATCCCATCCATCTGCCCATCCATACAGCCATCTTGTTCATTCCATCTCGCCAAAATAACCAAATTCCCACCCATTCCATTAACCTGCTCATCTATCTGCAATCCACCGTTTCTCCTCTCACCCATCCATCCAGTCATCCCATCCATCCATCCATCCATCCATCATATTCATTCAATCTCACATAAACAATCAAACTTGCATCCATCCATTAGTCCACCCATCTATCTGTAATCCATCCTTCCCCCCTCCCACCCATCCAAACATCCCATCCACCTTCCCATCCATCCATCCATCCATTCCTTCACTCAACAATACCTCTTATATCACAAAACAATTGAGCTGTTCTTCATTTTGGTTTTTGTCCAGAGTTGGAAGAAGCATTTCTTCTGTTTGACAGTGAAGAACAAGATGTTCTGGACAGAAGAACAAACAGTATTAGAAGAAGATGATGACGATGATGGTCTTCTGGAAGGTGTTGGTGTTGGGGAGGTAAGAAAACATTATCCTTACTTATCATTAATGTATTTACTGTGTTTGTACACTGCAAACAAGGTTCAATCTTGGAGTGTAAACACTAGTTTTAATTAGGAGTAGGAGTACTTACCACAATTATATATATATATATCCATGAAAAAGTTAACTAACAAAATTGTACAAATCAGTGCAAAGTTTTGTGGGTCTACAGTTTACTGAACTTACTAGACCTTACGAATTTTTTTCAATTTCGGACAATCTTTTTCATAAATATATGGTATGCACTCTATCTATCTAGTACTACACTATTTAGTACTAAATAGCACTGATATGGGAAACAATTAACATTATTATTTTGTACTCTTTAGTGCAAAATAAATTTGGGACTGTTTTAATGGGTTGAGCATAAGAACTTCACAATGCTAACAAACTAACTAACATCGTGCTCCTCTTTTTTCCAGAAAGATGAGCTTCACTATGGTGAAAAGTAAGTCTTGGTTCGTACTCTATTGAGGTTTTGCCGTGATCACCTGACGGCAGCCATGTTGGATGACAGGAACAAAGGATTTGATTTTCATGAGAAAAATTCAGTTTCCTAGAGTAAAGAGAGTTCAATATGTTCTTTTATTGCACATGGCCCCTTATGTGCCGAGATTGTATGGGGCTGCGCTATATAAGAACAGCTTTATCATCATCATCATCATCATCATCATCATCATCATGTGATTGTGTTTCATGCTGATTGGTCTTTTTTTTTGGAAAATAATATGTGCTCAAGTAACCACAACAACTTTATTTGCACCATAGAGTAAAATTTTAATTTAAAAAAATAAAATGAAAATTAATTGTACAAAAATAATTTAAAAATTTAAAACAAATTTAATTAATAGTTAATCATACAGGGCGCAGTTGTTCAAAGCCCGATTAGTGCTAATCCTTGGTTAACTCTTAATAAGACCTATAGAGTTAATCCTGGATTAGCGCTAATCCAGCTTTGAACAACCCGGCCCAGTATCTAACATAATATTAATAAGCAGACATTCATGGGGAGATAAGTATAACTTGCATGTCGGCCCTAACTTGCAGGACGGCCCTAATGATATGTGCGTAGAAGGCTGTTGCTATAGTGATATATGCTATTGTCTGCATCAGATCCAAGGATTAACACAGTATTCAGATCTTCATGTTGTCTTTGTTCAGGTGGTTTCACGGTAAACTACCAGATGGTCGTAAGAAAGCAGAGCAATATTTGAACCAGTTCAATCGAGGTGATGGCTCATTTCTTGTGCGCGAAAGCACAACATTCGTTGGAGATTTCTCCTTATCGTTCTGGTAAGTCTTGGTTTCAGTCAAAACCTCGTCTCACAGACTCTTGCTTGTAAAGTAGTTATTAATAGAATGCTCAGATTCATCTTCACACAGAAGTAGTTTTTGGTGGATGTCAATCAAGGCGTTTTCTTGAGATTCCATAGGAACATGCCTTTTATAGTGCAACGTGCCTAACAGTGGCCACCCAAATTATTTTTTTACTATTTAGCCAATCAGACAGCAAATATTTGTGCATTTGCACGTGAAATCACTCAGCATGACCGCAAATGCACAAATTCTCAATGTCGCACTTTGATTGACATCCACCAAAATTCTATTTAGCAGCAACTGTAATACTGTTGTTTCAGGTTTTGAAAAAATGAATATTTGTGCATGAATCTTATCTGTAAATTGTGTTTCATTGTCAGGCGGCGGGGTAAAGTTCAACACTGTCGCATCCGATCCAAACAAGAAAATGGCCAGACAAAGTATTACCTGGTTGAGCAGGTTACCTTTGATAGTCTGTACAGCCTGGTCAATTATTACCAATCACATGCAATGAGAAGCAACAACTTTGAGATGATACTTACTGATGCTATACCTCAGGTAAGAAGTACTATAATAGAGACCTCAGTTTAACATCACGCTAACCACTACCCGCTAGTAATCGGGCCCTGAAAAACGCCCACAAACACAGAGAAACACTTGGCATAAATAAAATTCAATTTGGCCACTCTTCCAGCAACAACTTCGTTATGTCGAAAGATTGACGGAAAATGCCTGATTTCAAGGTCTCCGTTGTGAGCATCATAAAGACGAAGTAATGTTGTACTCTACTAAGTTAAGGGACTGCAGATCCAGGATTTTTTTTGGGGGGGGGGGGGAAGAAGAAAAT